GCTACCAAACGGCGAATGACAAATAGAACAAGGACGGAAATGGCTTGTAAGGCAAAAAAGTTTAGAGCAGTGGCACCTGTGTGCAGTCAACTTTTTAATGGCTTGTGTGTAATTACATACTTTTTTAATGGCACATAGGTAAAAGCCTCTAATTATAGTCTTGACTCTGGACCCCATATTTACCAGACGAGCCTAGTGGGCCAGTATGTCGGCCGTTGAAGAAAGGAGATGAGCATGCGCTGATCCTCCCTTAAAAAATCCTAACACATTCTAAGTCTATCAACAACACAGGTGGTGCGAATGGGCATGTGGTCCAGTAGTAGAACTGTACAGTGTGTAAACCCTAGTGATCGTACTTTTTTCTGATTTTTTTCTAGAAATTTTAGGATACACGCACATTTGCGCGTTCGGTGGTACTGCGCGCGTGTTTCCCGCGCACTGGAGCGCCTCCCAATCTCTTCTTTGCGTGTATACGTACGCACATGTGTGTGTGCGAGTGGTGTGAGTGTGGAGTGTGTGGATTGTGTGCGTTCAACTTGTACCCCGTGTGTGTATGCGTGTGGTGCGAGTGTGGATTGTGTGCGTCCAAGCTGTACCCGATCAAAAAAAAACAACACAACTGGTGTTGCTTTTCCTATAAACCAACCGTCTTTTTGTTTCCAATTTTATCATTTCCACGGTCGTTCGCGTGATTTGAATATGGTGAACACTTTTCATACGCACGACCGGCAACATTAGGCACTAATCACATGGTGGGCCCTACTAGACAACTGTACAGAGCATCTAACATAACTAGTGCAAAAATATTTTTTATAGATGGCTCTCATTTCTAATAGAGGTGATTGACTTAGGAAACCGTCTGTAACCTTGGCGGGAGGCACTGTAGCTATACAACCGTTACTGGAAATTAATTTTCTGAGGCGGTTCGGTTAAGAAATTTGCTCCTGAAAACTTATCCATTTCCTAAAAATAGGATTTTTGGGTGACAGATGTCTTTACGGAACAATCTCTAGAGACAGAGTTTCAAGGACGGTTCTTTTAAGAGAACCGCGTGTGAAATCTAGTAACAAGGGCGGTGCTCTTAGTCAACCGCCCCTAAAAATAACCCCCTATAAATACCCTTCTTCCTCCTCGTGACTGTAGCTGGTCACACGATTGTAGCTGTTCATGCCATTGTTGAGCTCCATTGGAGATGAGAAATTGCAAAAAAAAAGGAGGAAGGTTTCGCCTTTCAACCTTTGAAGGAGCTGGGTTTGAGGGGTGCGATAAAAAACCGAGGGATGAGCTAGGGTAAAAAAATCCTGATCTTAACATTCAAAAAAAATCTTGATCTTGATTGGGCCAGCATTGGCGCCTGTCAAAGGAGGTTTCCACATGGAGGAAGGGCTCTTGTTCGAACGCTGAACACTATGCCAAGAATATCCTCTCATCCAAGAAGTTTCGGTATTCCAGACTAATTAGGGCCACCATTATTCCAGAGGTAGAAGAAGAGCTTGAAGGCCTGGCACTCAAACGACCTGAGCTTGTAGATGAAGTGACCAACCGTGTTTGAAGACCGAGAAACGAAAAACTCGACCATGCAACAAAAGAACCTTAAAATCAATAGCTTGGCCAGCAATGGTCGCTTGAAGAAGACGACCAACGGAAGCAAGACAAAGTCGAAATTTGCAGCGGCCAAAAGAAACAACCAAGAAAAACGCACGAGAGAAAGAACCAGAGCTGGTTACCAGAAGACCAAAGGTGCGCCGAATATGACGCCGAATGGCAATGCCCGGCCTGAAGTTCAGACAAGGGAGCTCCATCAGAGGGTGCAATAGGAGCTTCGTCGCTGAGAAAAGACAGGCTCACCAGGGTGGAGAGGTTAAGAAACGGAAACGCCACGGCGACCCAAAGGCCATGGCAAAGGGCGACGAAGGATTCCGGTGACGAAGAGGATGGCAACGGTGGCCGTGTTGCTACGAATGTTGCGGGCCTATAGGTTTTGCTTGCTAATCAACCATGACTAGAAGAATGCCCCGCGCGTTGCTGTGGGAATCATATATGAAATTATACTACTTATATTTACTTATATGGATGAATAAATATTATAATACATGTTAGTGGATGATTTTTAGCACTCTCATGTTGACAACTAAATATACGTTATTAAATGACGTGGTTTGCTAATGGGTTTTTTTAGTGAAAGTGGTTTGCTAATGTGAATAGCGTGAATGAAAACATAATTGTATATGCAAGTGGGATGTGTTAGTGGGTGCTGATGTGGACATTTTTCATGGCGAGATAGAATGCTGGTGGGATTGAATATAAGATATATAGATTACTTGTTCTAAAAAAATTAAAAAAATACTTCTAAAAAAATCAACCATAATAACTCAACAAAAGGGTGAGTTGCCTCCGCTGACACTGTCGTTAATCCAGCGCAATTCGTACCTTTTGATTGGTCACCATTGGACCCACTTCGGCCTAATATTAAGGCAACGTATCAGGTGCAAACCAACCAATCTGTATAAACTTAGAAACTACTGATCAGGACAACTGGATGTCGATCTAATAGATGGGGTGAGAGGTGGGATTTTTTTGCGCTTAAGCCCTCCACTCGCCGTCCTTTTTTTTGTGCTTAAGCCCTCTCATTCTATTTATTGGATCAACATCCAGTGGTCTTGATTGGTAGTTTCTATGTTTGTGTAAATTAGTTGGTTTGCACATGATATGATATGTTGTCTAATCTTAAACCTATCTAGTAGCAGCAACGCGTGGCGGACGCGTGGTCGTCACTCTCATCGCTGCCATCGCCCATCCCATATTGCCCGCTGCTCCTGCGGCGGTGGCGGTGCATGCTGGCCGGGCCCCAGACGGGTGCAGCGCGCGTAGGCGGCGCGCGGCCACGCGGCGTGCAAGCCGCCGAAGACCGCGCGGCGGCGTGCGGCCACAAGGCCACGCACAGCATCCGCGGCGCCGACGACACTACCGGCATGCTGCATCTGCATGCATGCAGATGGCATGGACCCCCGGTAAGTAGGCGTGACGCCGTTGGATCGGACGCGCGCGTTTCATCTGGTTGATGGCTCCCCTGCACCAGACAGAAGCTAGAGGGAGCGAACTCGGTCTCGCCCGTTCGCACGCAACTCTCACTGTTCCAGAGAACTGTCTGTCCTCGTGGGCTAGCGCTAGCTTCGCACGACGAGACGGCTACGTGCCGACGACGTCGCTCTGCCCGCTGGTGTGATTTGCGTTGCCTTGCGGCCTCCCCCAGTTGCGAGCGGCAAGCACCCGTGGTCCCTACCGCGCTGATTAACGCCTCTTGTGTCTTCTACGAGTAGTGGTTTGGGCGACAAGAACCGGAGGGGGCTCGTACTTATGACACGTCATTGGACAAACCTGACCTGGCCCGTCCCGTGTGTAGCATGCCGGTCCGACGTGGCACACAATAGTCTTCCGGCCAGGATCCTAGGTGGTGGACGGCGATGGTTTCCGGTCCACAAATCGCCGGAACAACTGTGCATACCTGTACGAAGTTTCAAAGTTTTAGATATGCTTTCGCGGACGCTACTAGGAATCTTGCTCGAGGATGGACGATTGATAATTCAAACTCGAGATTTCGTTCAGAGGACCAAAAAGAAATTAAAAAAGATAACTTCGAATAAGGAAATCTACTACTCGGATCTCAATAATTAATTCCATCCATCCCATAACATGTCATTTATTTCTTCTAAGTCATTTTTTTACAAATTTTATTAGAAGCTCGCCCAATTTTTATTAGATTATGCTTTCCATGTGAAACATGTGTGAGTATTATGTTTTTGAAAAAAAGTGATCCAACTAGAATAAGAACCCATTTGGAGAAATAATAGTTAGCTGCTAATAATTAACTCCTTAAATCCAAACATGTTTGGCTAATTGTTAATTAAATGCTCAACTAACAGTTATTTCACTAGTTAGATCAAACTAGCTAATAACAGTTATATAGCTATGAGCTATTAGCTAGCTAATACTCCTAATTAGCAGCTAATGGATTCAAACGGACTTAAATGTCATACGAGGACTTAGGCGTTGTTTGGATCAAATAGATAATAGTTAGCTACTAATAATTATCTCATTGGATCCAAACAGGTCTAGCTAATATATAGTTTAACTAATTTTTAGCTGAAGTACCCAACTAACAATTATTCCATTAGTTGAACTAAACTAGCTAATAACAGTTAATATTAGCTGTGATCTATTACGTTGCTAACTATTAGCAGCTAATGGATCAAAATATGCCCTTAGAGATAGAGCAAAGAGAGGATCTCATTAGTAATGAGCCACGTGTTTCTCCAAAATCAAAGATGAAGTGTTTTTTCTCATTTTTCCCCAAAAATAGTCGACGTTCATACCCTGACGTAAACTGGAGTGCGGTGCTAAATACTTTTGACAATATATCTTCATAATTCTTAGGATCATTGCTTTGGATCTTGTTTCCCCTCTGCAAAAGCAAATTTGTAAAAAAACTGCAACTACATTTAAACATCATTAAATTAGGTTTACTAAATCCACCATGTAAGGAGTATTCATTTAAGATATATATTTAGATGAAATTAGATAATTTTGATTTTTAAAAAACTCAAGAAAATCGGTGTTGCTTGATTCTGGTGAAGATGACCCCGTCGGTCTGCATGCTAGAGCGCGCTTGGCGATGAGCCCAACAATATAAGTCATGAACACAAAACTCTGACCACCTGTTATTTTTTATTTGGTACAATGTCACCAGAGGGTTGTCGTTCCACAGCAGACTATAAATTTCGCACAAAAATAAATAGAAGGTTCAAACGCATGTACAAAGACGAAAAAGAAGAGAGTACTAAAAGAACCAAAATGGGCACGGTACAAGGAGACAAATCTTGAGGAAATAAAAAAAAAATGGACGAACGAAACTTTGTTCCTTATGCAGGATAAAACCTCAGGAATCGAGAAATAGTAATTGCTAACTTAACCGATCAAGGGCAACACACGACCCTTGCGGATCAATAGATATCGTCGAAGGCGAGCATGGCATGCGCGACGGCATCCTCGCGCGTCCTTGCCACGCGGCCCACGCCGCGTGCCGAGGAGGAGGAGGAGGCTCCACCGTCCTGTCGCTGCTGCTGCTGGCCCAGCAGGCTCCGCGCCTGCAGCAGCTGCACGCCGCGCCGGGCGCCGGCGACGTAGCCCCGCAGTCCGGCGGCGTAGAAGGACACGATGCCACGGAGCGTGATGCAGGCCCGCGGCAGGTCGCGTGCCAGCGGCAGCGCGAGGTTGAACGGCCACAGCAGGACCGCGAGCCGGAACGCCTTCAGGAACCCGGCCGCTACGGCCGACACGGCGAGGAGCAGCATGTATGTGAACCGCCGCCGTCGTCTGTGTGGAGTCTATACGGCAGGGCACCACTGCCGCTAGCCCGCTACTGCAAGTACTTGCATGTAGGAGTAGGTCGTTGCATCTCTCTATCCCTCTACACGATGGGCCGGGCATGAGGGTCCCTTTTAACCGAGCTCTACCTCCTGATTGCTACCTCTAGGTCCTTAATTATCTGATTCTGATGTTGCAGATATGAAGTGGTTCTAGAGCGGTGCTAGTAGAGGACTGAATAGAGAAAGGGCTTTTAACCCCCAGCTACCAGCTTCCAATGCAAGTAAAGGAATATGATTTTTGTCTAATCACTGCTAGAATCTATATAACTTTTTGCTGTTTGGCTAATCTGGAAACTGCTCCAAGAAGGTGTGCAGGGCTTCGAGCAGGATGCATCAGTGTCTAACAAAGACCAGACCGAGAGGTGAACACGGGGAATGGGGAGGTACGTTCGATGTTGGTCTTATACACAAGTGCAGTGCGTCTCTGTTAACTGTATGGTATGAATCGGAGTAGTTGGCTTACAAGACTCTTCTACTCCGTTAACACTCTTGACCGGGTGCAGCTTCACATAATGTTCTGCAGCACGAGCGAGAACGAGGCAGAATTCCCATACTTGTAAATTTGCACTCTAGATGGGAGCCACGCATGCACGTCTTTTAATTTTCAACGGAACGGATAAGTCAGCATCTCACAAGCTGTACCAGATTATATATACACCTGGGGCCAGCAGCAGTATAAAAAACTAATACATGTATGTATTCTATTTTTGTCTTCACAAACATATAGGTTGGGTGTAGATCTAAGCAACACTGTATTCTAATCAAGGTTCAATTAATTAATCAGTGTTCATATATTGCGTGTACAGATCGATCACAAGCTCCATCAGTTGTTTGGAGAGGAAGTAGAAGAAACATCCAACATGCACCAACTTCGCTGTCGTCCAAGGGGTACGGTTGCATTTTCGGTCCATGTGGTATCCTGTCCTAGGTACGCATACGGGCGCATCGTCGTTTCCCTGCGTTTTTTCTAGTCCCTGTCAGAGGCGATTATGTGTTGCCCTTTCTCGACCCGAGGAGCTAGCTAGCTACCTAGTTGCTCATGGAGGCCATGAGAATTTCGACCAGATGAGAGAATTCAGTCGAACAAAATTCATCACTTGTATTTACCACCCACGGTTGCACGTTACAACAATCTCCCAAATCTTTTCGATGCTACCCAAAATCATGCTACGAACAAGAAGAAACCAAAACTAGCGAGCAATGGACAAGGTCTCACAAGGGGATCGGAGAGGAATAGATCCTACGCTAAGCTAGCAACTAACGGGCGTCGCGTCGGGCGGCATGCACTTGCCATCGCGACCACGACGGACGACAGCTAGCGCCCTCGCGCACGGACACGCATGGCCGTCGTCCGTCCATGGCGTCGGTGCGTCAGTCAGTCGGAGATGTTGAGCATGGCGTAGCGGACGTACTCGTCGACGCCGCCGCGGCTCCCGCTGTGACTCCAGGCGGCGCCGCGCTCCAGGGCGTCGTTGAGCCACGCGGCGTGCGAGGCGAGCACGCCGTACAGGACGGCGAAGGCCTCGGGAAGGTGGCGCGCGAGCGGCAGCCGGAGGTTGAGCGGCGCCGAGATGTTGAACACCTGCATGAGCCCCCTCGCCGCCACGAACGCCAGCAGGTGGAATCCCATCGTCTCGACGTCGAAGCCGAATCCAGCACTGGCCGCCGGCGCGCAGGTCGCGGATGGAGCTCGCCTTATTGGTACGCTGGCTGTCGTCGCCTGTTGTTGGCAGCAGCAGCGGGAAATGTTGCCCGGTCGCGTGCACTTGTTGTGCCGACGGGCCAATCCCAGCTTGAGATCGCCTGCTGAATGCGGCGTGTCCTCGCGGGTTAAGTAGGCGGCAGAGGACACGCCAGGACGGCAGGCAATGTCGCTGCCACGCTGGTGGTGCCGTGATGGTGGTGGGGGCCGGGCAGCCGCTGCCACCTGCCGGGGGCCGAGGGGGTTGCGGCCTTCCCCAGTTGCGAGCGGCAACCCATGGAGGGGAGGCAGCCACCGGCTGACAAGGACTAGTCGCTGGTTTTGGGCAAAGGGCGGGCCGGGGTTTTCGCTGCTTCTGGATAAGAAAGCACCCTGCCTACGTGTACTATGCAACACTGTATTTCACCCATCCGTTATCTAGTATAAACAATTAAGGTTCTCTCTTCTTTTTACATTATTTTCTCTTCTTCTACGTCAACAGCGTACCTGATTACTAAGAACTGATATGCACTGTTGGATGAAGCTTACCCGATACTCTCTATGTTCTAAAAACAGGGTTCGTCAAGTTGTTGTTTTTTTCGGATATGACTATTTTTAACTTAACCAATTTATTAAAAGAGATACTCTTAATATTATGATACACGACAATGGTATTGTACATCCGCCAAAACTGACAAAAATTACTGAATAATACTGAACCGCATTTAGTATCAATCAATACTACGCACCAATACCACGAGATACTGAAACACGAGTACTGAATAGTACTCAATTTTGTTCTTTATAACAGTTTAGTTTAGAATAGTATTCTACACCTAGGTTATAGAATAGTACGTGTATATATCTCCTTGTAATAAAATTGATAGTAGTTTTCTTCACTAAAAATCAATGGAGTTGCTATGTTTCAAATGACTAAATTTTTAGACAACAGCCGTACACAATCAACTAGTACTTTTAAAAAACAACTTACAAAAGATAATTAATAATTTTTTATAGTTAAATAATGACAAAATTGCATGTGATCTAAACAAGTATAAAAATTAAAATAATTTGACTTTAGAGTGGAACCAGAATGACACTTTTCGATAACTGTTGGAGTATAAGTGAATTGCACACACCTCTCTTCGTCAGCTTAACTACGATTGTTGCCATTAGCTACACAGTTTTTTTTTCTTTTTCTTTTGGTGTGTGTTTGGGAGTGACAAAGTGACCTGGTGGATCGGTTGTGCCGACTCACCACTGACGTACAGCTAACGGCTTACCCTATTCATCCACTTGCGCTGCCACTGGACAGTTCCATTTCTGTAGATTGGGGCTACATCATTTTCAGCAACAATGGATAAGGTTGAGGCTCATCAGATGTCAGGCTAAAATCACCGGGGGCCAGTAGCACGCATATAAACAAATCGCAGAAACCATAAAGCTTTGTTCCCTTCTTCACATGATGAAACAGTTGGAAAGCTTCCGGCTAAGCACTTCACACAAATTAAAATCGCCTGCAGACGGCTGGGGTGAATATTAGTCAGGTGGCATTACGGGGTGAATAGTAGTCGAGACAGACAGTTGCAAACTTGCAGTGCAGGGGCTACGGAGGAACTCATCAGAAAAAATATTGGCCCCGTTCGCTTGTCTTATGAGCCATACTGTTTCAGTGAAGGAACGGTGTTTTTCTCTTACAACAAATCAGCGAACATTACTTTCAACCATGGCTTTTCGGCGAAACGAACAGGACCATTTTGCGGTGTATGTTCTGTCTCCACAACAAAGGCCACCACACAAGTGACAAGTTGGTGGTGGAGACATCGGGCATCATATCGAATTCAAGCCAACCTGCTCGACAGGCAAAACCGCAAAAGCCTCGACCTCACATGCATTCCCTGAGCAGGGAGCACCCAACCAATCATACAATCATATCAGATACGGCACGCATGGTCGTTTCCTAGCGTCCTTCGATCTGCTTCTGGTGCCCCCTGTTAGATTGATCTCTAATCTCAAACTGGGACCAACGGCTCAGTTGGGCCTTTGATCCGTGCTCTGATCGGGGGCGCCCAACCCACTATGGCTGGAGGGCCCCTGTCACACTGCGCAATAAATAGAGGTGGGGCCGGCGGCTCAAGTCACGAGGTTCGCCTGAGCCGAGCTCCCCATCGACAAACCCTAAACCTGATCTAGTGAGGGGCGCAGCCAGTGATGGGAAGCACCTCCACCACTGCACTGCGCCGCCACCCGTCTTCACCGACCGTCGCTGCCCTTGCGCAGACACCGACACAACAACCATGGCAGACGCCTCTAGATCGAAGCCCTACGATGGTCGGTAACGTAGCACTACTCCTCCCTCTAATATCTGTTGAGTTCATGTACTAGGACATGCTGTACTTTTACTAGATGTACCCGGCTAGATCTATGCTCCTAATGATCCTAGAAAGTTCAACAATGGTACCAGAGCCAGGTTTTTCTAGGGTTTTAGATCTAGAACGGGTGAACGATAAAACACAGAGCAGATCCGTTCGGATCTGAGAAAACAAGAGGGTCACCGAACCCTAACCCTAATCGGGTGAAGAACAGAGAAAAGAAAGGGTCTCGAATCTCAAAGTCGAAACCTAACCCGTGAATCAATCACGGGAAAGAAGAACAGTGAAACCCTAACCCTAACCAAACCCTAATCTTGATCCTAACCCCATCCCCAACCCTAAATCGGATAGATCCGAGAAAAGAAGAAAGGAAAATCAAAGGAAAAGAAAAGGGGAAGGGGAAGAGACCTACCTCGCCGCCGCACCGTGCATGCCGCCTCGTCGGCGCACGAGCGGGGGCTCGGGCAAAGGGCGCCGCGGCCAGGCCGCTAGACGGCGGCGCGCTCACCCGCTGGGGAGCGCGCGCAACGGCGAGAGGGCCGGCGACGGCGCCATCATCATCACTATGCCATCGCGGGACCGAGACAGAGGAGGAGGAGAAAAGATCAGGGTCAGATCTAGGGTTTTTGGAGGAGATCAAGGCACCACCGCCCAGACCGTTCGACGGCGACGTGCTCACCCGCTGGGGAGCGCGCACGTCGGCGACGGGACCAGCGACGGCGCCGTCTTCGCGCTCGTCTTTGCTCGGTTGCTGCTCGCTGCGCTGAGGAGAGAGGCGAAGAGAGAGAAAGGACGAATGAGAATGCCGCTAGCGTTTCAGCGGAGGCGCTGAGGTAGCCGTTTTGATCTGGCGACGTGCGCGGACGGCCGTCGGATCAGAACGGACGGCGCTGATGATTCTGTGACTGACCGCCGCCTAAGGGTAGCGTCTTGATCGTCTTGACTTTGCTTGGCCCAGCCCAGTTGCGGCTGGTGTGTGGCGCAACAGCGATGCAAGGGAGTCTGGCAGGCGATTTCTAGGTCGGGCCAAAGGAACAGTAAAGAAATGAGCCATTTTTTATTTTTCTTTTTCCAGTAAATATTTATTTTATGAAAAATGGATAAATGGCTTAAAGTAAATAGAAAAAGAATTTTTCTGTGGGTAAAAATTCATTAAATTGAATTATTTTTCCGTTGCGTATTTAAAGTTGTTATTTTCATTATTAAATTCGAACCAACGGGAGAATTTAATTTTGAAAAATGAATATGTTTTTAGTTTATTATAATATTGTTATTATTCTTACCAACGTTGATTAATGGCAATATTATGATGTTTTGTCATGCATTAATTCTATTTTTGCCCAACGATGATGTAGAATTAGTGTAGAGGACAATTGTATGTTTTAATTTTGACCAACATTGGAACTAAGGCATGCAATTGTTATTATTATGTTTATATTCTCACTCTATATGAATTGTATTTTTAGGCAGATATAACTTGATGGGTTGTATCAAAGAGATCCCCACTCTCAAATGTGACAACTACACGGAGTGGAAGAAAAAGATTGACCTAGCTTTCATCTTGGCTGAGGTGGACTGGGTAGTCACCTCACCGTGTCCCACTGAGCCTGTGGCACCGGTAAGGAAGACAAACGAGGCTGATGCCGCTTGGGCAACCAGAGAGAGGGATTTTGCATCCCAAAAGATGTCCTATGACCTTAAGCATAGAAAATGGGTCACTGTCAACAAGAAATGTATGGCTGTGAAAGAATACGATTGAACCTGCAATTGTGGGCTCAATTCTAGAGTGTGACACCGTCACTGAGTACCTCGATAGAATAAAGGGTCAGTTCACTGGCTCTTCAAAGACATATGCTACCCAGCTGATAAAGTAGCTAGTGACAGAGAGGTACTTTGGAAATGGTGGCATAAGAGAGCACATACTAAGGATGAGCAATTTAGAATCCAAGCTAAAACCAATGGATCTACCTCTAAAGGAAGAGTTCCTTATCCATCTGATTTTTGCTTCCTGGCCAAAGGAGTTTGACACCTTTGTTGTCAACTACAACATACAACCCGAGAAGTGGGACTTAAAGAGGCTCATGGCTATGTGTGTGCAAGAGGAGGAGAGAATGAAAGCTGTCAATGGTGGCACTATCAATTCTGTGAAAGACAACAAGAAAAAGAATAATAATGCTAACTCCTCCTCAAAGCCAAAGGGAAAAGGTCCCATGCTACATCAGCCTCGGCAGAACAAGTTCACATGAGAGAAAGACCAGTGTCTCTATTGCAAGAAGACGGGACAATATAAGAAAGCTTGTCCCGATTACTTAAAGATGATCATGGCAAAGAAATGTGAGAACATTATTACGTTCATAAATGAATCCTTGTATGTACAGTATTCAAAATCAACTTGGTGGATTGACTCAGGTGCAACTGTTCATGTTGCTAATTCCTTACAGAGATTCCGTTCGACGAGGACTACGCAAAGAAGCGAAAGACACGTTAAAGTTGCAAATGGAGTCCGAGCAGATGTCGAAGCCGTTGGCGACTTTTCTCTAGAGCTTGCTGATGGCTTCACACTTTTACTTAGAGATGTACTTTATGTTCCCTCCTTACAGAGAAACTTGATTAGTGTTTCATGCTTGGACAATGATGGATATGATTGCCATTTTGGAAATAGCAAATGTAAGATAACATTTAATAATGCATGTGTTGGTCTTGCTATCTTATAAAATGAGCTTTATTTGTTATCACTACATGATGATGTGAATGTTGTATGCGATGATGGGAACGTTGCGTGCGACAATGAGAATGTATTCTCGTCTGCAGATGTAAACAGAAAACGAAAGAGAGCTCACGATGCATTGTCGAAATTATGGCACTGTCGTTTAGGCCATATTTCAAGGGAGAGAATAGAAAGACTAGTTAAGAATGAGATTCTTCCTTCATTAGAGCTCTCAAATTTAGAACAATGTAGAGAATGCATAAAAGAAAAGTGTGTAAAGAAAATTAAGAAAGATGCCAAATGAAGCGCAGGAATTTTACAGATTATTCACACAGACATCTATGGTCCATTTCATGTAAAGAGTGTGGATGGTTATGATTCGTTTATAACGTTCACAGATGATTACTTCCGTTATGGCTACATTTATCCAATCAAAGAAAGAACAGAAGCATTAGATAAAATTAAGATATTTAAGGCAGAAGTTGAAAACCAACACAATTTAAAGATTAAGATAGTCAGGTCCGACCGTGGGGGGGAGTACTACGGTTGGCATACCCCATATGGCCAAGTTCCTGGACCTTTTGCAAGGTTCTTACAAGAGAATGGCATAGTAGCCCAGTATTCTACATCGGGCGAACCTCAGCAGAATGGAGTAGCTGAAAGACGCAATCGTACCCTGATGGATATGGTGCGTAGTATGATAATTACTCCACCTTACCGTTGAGCCTGTGGATGGAGGCGTTAAAACCGCGTCATTCATATTCTCAATAGAGTACCAAGTAAGTCAGTGCCCAAAACACCGTATGAGTTATGGACAGGAAGAGTACCCTCACTAAATCACTTACGTGTGTGGAGGAGTCCTGCTAAGGATAAAGTATTTAACCCAAACATTAGGAAGCTAGATCCCAAAACAGTAAGTTGCCATTTTATTGGCTACCCAAAAAAGTCAAAAGGTTTTCGTTTCTACTGTCCAGACAGACATACAAAGTTTATGAAAACAAAACACGCTGTCTTCCTAGAGGATGAAATGATGAGGGAGAGCATGGTAGCTCGAGAAATTGACCTTGAAGAGAAGCGGGTGTATGCGCCCACTCCAATGATTCATGAGCCATTTTTCTCACTACCTGCTATCACTGCACCGATAGTGCAAGATACTGTGGTGCCAGCACCTATTATTATTCCTCCTATGGCAACAATGAATAATGATGAGGAACCTATTCTTCAGGATCCTGTAGAACCTATTGCCACACATGAGGGGGAGCAACAACAGCCTCAAACAGAAGATGTGCCAAATGTGGAGGCCCCTAGAAGGTCTCAAAGAGTTAGAAAATCAGTTATTCCTACTGACTATGAAGTATACAATACTGAGGAATTTCAAGTGGAGGATGATCCCACCTCATTTGAAGAAGCCATGAGAAGTGATCATTCATCAAAGTGGCTTGAGGCCATGGAAGATGAAATGAAATCTATGAATGCCAATAAAGTTTGGGACTTAAAAATAATTCCTAAAAGAGCCAAAACAATATGCTCTAAATAGGTCTACAAAACAAAACTTGACTCTCAAGGGAATATAGAGAGATATAAAATGCGACTTGTGGCAAATGGCTTTACGCAAAGAGAAGGGATTGATTACAATGAGACCTTTTCTCCAGTCTCATGTAAAGATTCCTTCAGAATCATAATGGCATTAGTGGCACATTATGATTTAGAATTACATCAGATGGATGTAAAGACGGCATTTCTCAATGAGGACTTGGAGGAAAATGTTTACATGGCACAACCGAAAGGTTTTGTCATGGAAGGAAAAGAACGAATGGGATGTCGCCTAAAGAAATCCATTTATGGATTAAAACAAGCTTCAAGACAGTGGTACTTGAAGTTTGATCAGACAATAAGGAATTTTGGGTTTAAAGAGAATGTTGAGGACAATTATGTCTATGCAAAGTTTAAGAATGGGAAGTTTATCTTCCTTGTCCTGTATGTGGACGATATCTTACTTGCTAGTAGTGATGTCAGTCTACTACTGGAGATAAAGAAGTCTTTGTCCTCAAAATTTGATATGAAAGATCTTGATGAAGCCTCGTTCGTTCTGGGGATCGAGATTCACTGAGATAGAAGTAAAGGGGTATTAGGACTGTCACAAAAGACATACATAGAAAGGATCTTAAAGAAATTTAGTATGCACAAATATAGTCCCTCACCTGCTCCTATAGTCAAGGGCGACAGATATGGGGATTTTCGATGCCCCAGGAACCAATATGAGATTGATCAAATGAAAGTGGTTCCATATGCTTCAGCTGTCGGAAGCTTGCAATATGCTCAAGTATATACGCGCCCTGACTTAGCATTTGTTACCGGGTTACTTGGTAGATTCTGGAGCAATCCTAGAACAGAACACTAAAAATTAGTAAAGAAAGTCTTGCGTTATTTGCAAGGAACAAAAGGCCTCATGATGACGTATAGAAGATTTGATTCACTCTATATAGTGGGATATTCAGATTCTGATTATGCGAGAGATGATAGAAAATCCACGTCTGGATATGTATTCACTCTCGCATGGGGGAGCTATTTCATAGAAAAGCTCAAAGCAAACCGTCACTACATCGTCCACAATATATGCCGAGTTTGTAGCGTGTTATGAGGCAACAGGGCAGGTGAACTGGCTAAAGAAGTTCATACCCGGTTTGAAGGTGGTTGACGACATCTATAGACCGCTTAAGTTATACTGCGATAATAATCCGACAATACAGTATGCTCACAACAATAAGTATCTGCTATTTTATCTAAGATTGATAAGACTTCTTTGCCTCAAGTATCTTTCTTTGCTGAAAAGCTTAATGCTGTTGATCTGAGTGATGAACAAGTGTTGATCTGTTTCTTGGTTGTGGCTCTACATTGTTTTCTTTGTCCCAATCTAACCTTGTTCCTAGTCCTCGGTACCTTGTTGTTTTTGAAGACATTGAGAATATTAGTTCTTATGACTGGTCTGGGTTTGTGTTGCGTTGGTTGCTTGATGGTGTTAAGAGTTTCAATAGAGGAAAGAAAGATGGTCAGAAAGGTTCAGCAACTCTTGGTGGCTGTATGTTCTACCTAGTTGTAAGTGTTCCCTATATGATGTGCATTGTATTATTTGTTTGTTTATTTGTCGGTGATCCCTCTGTGTTTACTTTTTTTATTTATTCTTTTAAATTTTGTATTTTTTCCAAGGTTATGTATTTGGATCATGTTGATTTCTCCCATCGTCAAGTATATGATTCTTTTCCTCGAATTGAAGTTTGGAAGCATAACTTGATCAGACATTTTTCTGATCCTGATCTAAAATCTCCTTCTGTTTATGGTATGAGGCCTCTTCTTGATTTCCAGAAGACATGCTATTTCAAGGTATGTTATATTTGTTTTTTTATTTTTCATATTTTGTCCCATTTTATATCTTTTACGTTTTTGTTTTAATAGGCTGTTACTGCTCAGCTAGGTGCTGAGCCATCTGATGATCTTCCTCTCTTGTCTAAACTTGAAGAAGTTTGTGGTTGTGATGTACCTGATATTTTGAAAGCTAGTGTGGTTTCTTTGATTGAAGATCATTGCAAGAGTTGTGTTTCTCCAATTCCCGATGATCTGGTTTCTCTTGGTGACCTTCCTAATGATTTCAAGACCTGTTCACAAAATTGATGGCTCTTGTTTATGGTCTGAAGTTAAAGTCAAGGGATTTAGTTCTTAAAGTGTTGAAGTTGTTTGTTGATTATGATAACTCTTCTGATCATCCTGTTGCTTCTCCTATGAAACCTACTTCATCAGATCCTGATAATGTTGTTGTTGGAAGTCATGTTTTTCAGGTATTATTTATTATCTATGTCATGTATTTACTTGTAACTGATTTTCATTTGCTTTTGCTTTTTATTCTTTTGTTATTAATTTTAATTGTAGTCTAATGTTGATAAAGTTGTTGGAGGTTCTTCTTCTGCTAAGGATCCTAGTAAGTTCTTATATTCGTATTTTTTTGTTCTTATATTTTTGTTTATTTTCTTATTTAATTTCTTTGTTTGTTCATATTAGTTGATCCTGCAATTCCATCTAAAGTTGGCAATCTAAGTGTTTCCGATGTTTCTCCTTTAGGATCATCTTTGAAACCTGAGTTATCTTTTTTTTCTTTTTTTTATTAGTAATGTTATATGGTCTCATTAATTTTTATTTTTTGTGTCGTAGCTGTTTCTTCTTCTGTTCTGAAGAAAGTTAGGTTGTCTTCAGATGTTCCTAGAAAAGATATTTCTCAGCCATATGATGTTTCTTCTAAAAGTGTTCGTCGAGGTGATGATGTTCCTAAAGGTTCTCACCAAACTGTTCATTCTCATCCTGTTGGTGATGTTATTCCTGTTGGCAAAGATAATGATACTGATTCTGAAGTTGATATAGTTCTGTCTGCAGATCATTACATTGGAGTAAGTATATTTTTATTGTAATTTTTTTTCTCAACTTATATTTCTGTTGCTTGTGTTTTTTTAATTATTATTATTATTATTTTGGTTTCAGGCTACTATAGTTATGCAGACTCTCCCATTTTCTGATGATGAGTCTCCTCTCCTAACTCCTAATTTGTCGAAGAAGTTGCGTCCTAAGCCTCAGTTGCATTCTTCCTCTAAGCCTGGTTGTTCTGTTGCTGCTCCTGTTATTGTAAGTATTTAGTTATTGTTTTTTTGTTTGTTTTACTTTTAGTTTCGGTTTTAATTTTATTTTTACTGTAGTTATCTTCTCCTGAAGTTGCTATTGTGGGTTCGATGTCTTTATCTCAGAAGCTCAGGTCGATGGGCAAGAAATCAGAAGTTGTTTATAATTCAAAGTTACAGAATTCAAGTTCTGGTTTACTCACTTCTAAAAAATCTTTATCCAAGATTCATGGTTATCCTTCTGTTTCTCCCAACCAATTTGCTGGATCTTCTGGTAAATCTGATTCCAAGGTGTCAAATTCTTCTACTGGTGGGAAGGTTCCTCTTCATGGTCCTAGGAGGAATGTAAAGCCCAATCGTTTCTATAGTGACGAGTTTGAGATTGAAAGGGGTAAATTCAAAGTGAACGATTCTCAGATTAAGAATTACAAGGCTATTTGTAATCTGACTATGTCTCCTAATAGTGGGTATGTCGACAAAAAATACTCGGCAGTCCTCCGAGGGGTATCCTATGAAGGTAGATTGATCGGCAGAGGTGCACGTGATACGAACCGGATGATAACAGAGACATAAGACACAAGATTTATACAGGTTCAGGCCGTCAGCTTGACGTAACAGTCTACATCCTGTGCTCTGTTATTTTGTATTGATTGTGTATTAGATTCAATATATTGTCTAGGGGACCCCAGCCCCTCCTTATATACTCTGGTGGGTAGGGTTACAAAGAAAATATCCTATTTGGTATTACAATATCTTTCTGTAGTCTTGCGGTGCACGCCGACCAGTGTCGTGCGCCGCACGCCTTGATCTTATGGGCTGAGCCACCTTTGGTGGTATGGCCCATGTCTTATCTTGTGGGTATCGGGGGCTATATCCCCACAGCTAGTCCCCGAGCGCATTGTATCATTTGAGCAACGCTGTCTTGAATAAGTCTGAGCAGTTTGACGTGAAGCCGACCAGTTTAATTGGTGATCCGAGCAGTGGAAGTCGAAGCCGACTAGTTTAACTGGTGACCTGGGCGGTGAAAATCAAAACCGACCAGTTTAACTGGTGACCTGAGCGGTGAAAGTCAATGTCGACCAGTTTAACTGGTTAGGAGACCTCGGACTTAGCCAAGTAAGGCTTGCCAGGAGGATGTAAGGGGCTCAAGATGAAATTTAAAAATTCTTCCACCTAGGAGAAGTGTAGCCACTTAGACTCCGTTAATAAGGAGGGTAAATCAAGAAATAAGCACTACATTCACCGCCAGGTGAAGTGTAGCCACTTAGTCCCCGAGCCTGCTGGAAGATGAAGAATGAATCTTGTAGCAGGGTAAAATAAAATAAGTCTGAAAGCTTGCCAACATCATCTGTCATGCACGTATCAAGACCCCAGATGTGCTGCCCAAGATCAGCACCCCTAATCTGAACAGCATGGAGCAACTTGTTAGCGCACCGATGAGACGTAGCAAAATCCGACCACCAAGGAAGTCCCCAGCTTAGCTGGCAACTTTTGCATAAAGAATCCGAACGCCGAGGAGTCCCCAACTTAGCTGGCGAGCCCCAGCGTAGCTGACGATGAAGCACATGCGATGAGCAGTCCAACCAACTGGTCGACGGCGAAGTGAACGCCGAGCAGGAGTGAGCGCCGAGCAGGAGATTGATCTCTCCAAACACCAAGGAGTCCCAGCTTAGCTGACGATGAAGCGCAAGCAATGAACAGTCCAGCCAACTCATCGGCGGCGAAGTGAGCATTGAGTAGAGGTGACTGGCGAACAATCCGATCAACTGGTCGGCGACGAAGTCCACAAACCTAGCGGTCCGACCAGTTGATCGGCGGAGAAGTCCAAGTACCAGGTGATCCGATCACCTGGACGATGATCTAGGTGGTCCACAAACTTAACGGGTATGTGTTGATTAGTTACTTTTTTCGTGTTTATTTGTCTTAGTCTGATTGTATTAATTTTTTATGTGTATTTTTTTTTTTACTGCAGTGATGATGCTATTTTTTTGGTGGAGTTCGGTGCACTTTTTGGTCTCTTGGAGAATCTATGAAGCCTGGTGGTACTGTAAACAACTTTGTTATTGCTGCATTTTGCTACCACCTGTACTCTCTGCCTTCTGGTCATCCTGATGTTTCGAAATCCCTCTACTTCTCTAGTATTAGTGTAAGTGTTATTATCCTCTCTCTTTTTTCCTTTTTTCCCTTTTTTGATTTTCTATTTCCTGTAGGATCAACTTTTCAAAGATCCAGACAGTGCAAATGAAGATGTCTTGAGTAGAGCTTTTAAGAAATCTCCCAGGAACAGGCCTCTTTATTGTTGTAATTTGGTAATTCTTTATCTTTTGTTTTTTTATTTGATATATCTGATAGTTAAGCTTAGCTGCTTGTATCTTTCTTTTCATGTCTTTACTATTCACTATCTAAGTGTTTTCGGGTGGCTTAGCTCAAGTCTGGTATCTAGTTTACATTGCAGAATATGCTAGAGTAGGTAGAGGTAGCAAAAACCACTTTGCTCTATATAAGCAGTGGCAAACCATCTAGTTTCGCAAGTTATTGCATTTTCAGATTCAATCCAAGTGGCCTAGTGGCTAAGATGCCCTCTGGGCTTTTATCCAAATCTAAGATCCATTTCTATTGTCTGGGCAACAATATCTATTTTTGTTTCTAACTTTTAATTTCTTTTGTTTTCAGTTGTTTTTCCCATGTTACTATGATGAGCACTGGTTTGTTTTCGTCGTTGATATAAAGGGCCGCTCATTTGTTTTCTTGGATTCTTAATATGGATTACATGATGAATTTCAGGCTAAAGTTAGGGATAAATTGGTATGCCTTTAGCTTTTTTAATTTATTTGTTGTTGTATTTTGTTTTTTTTTTTGTTATTCTTATTAAGATATTTTGTAGATTCCAAACTTCAAGCACTTGTGGAAGAAGTTTGGTTTGATTGATATGGGTTTCAATCATTACAAGGTGGTTTATCCATATGTTCCAAAGCAGCCTACAAATAATTAAAAAGTGTTTTTTGTAGATTGTCTCATTTTCTTATTTTGGTTGCTCTATATCTTTATTCATCTTTATTCTATCTCTTTAATTATGTATTCTATTCTCTAGATTATTAGTTAATTTAATATTTTAGTTTTTATAATACTTGTTAATTCATATTTATATTTTTTTATGTAGCTGTGATTCCGGTGTCTATGTGATGATGTTTCTAGAGCATTGGAAAACGCCTCGGGATTCGCTCTTCACTCTGTTCAAGGCTTCTAATATTCCAAATTTGAGGATTAAGCTTGCTAATGATCTTCTCTTCTCTCCCAAGAATACAGGTCGCAAGGAACTTGTTACCACTTACCACTTTGAGGTAAATTTTTTTGTATGCTTTTATTATGTCTTTTTAAGTCTTTGTATTAGTTCTTACTATGGTTTTAATATTATTAATGTCACACCCCAAAATTTTCAATTTTGGGTTATGCATAGAAAACACAAAATAAAATAAATTATTTTAATATTTGGATAAAATTTACCAAGTTTAGTTTGAGCTAGCGCAAATTTAGTTATAGGAAAAATGTGAATTTTCAAAGTTTTCTAATCTTGAAGGGCGTTTGGATGATGTGATGTTTGCTTGTTGCTTCTTTGTGTGTTGAGAGTGAGCAAAGTCTTTAAAATATGTTAGTAGGTCGATTTTCCTTCTCCAGCACGTCTTTATCTTTTTCTACAGTCAAATTCTTTATTTCCCGGCTCAAGTTTTCGTTGGGAGCTTCCTAAAATCTTTTCTTTGTAACGCAAATCACTCCTTTTAGTTCCCCATCCATCAATCAATCTCTACAAACTTCTCGAAAAATTTTCCAGTTTTTTCTGGAACTTGTTCCTACTTGTCAGTGAGCCTAATTTAATTTTTAGATGCTCCAAATTATCTTATCATGGGCTCCAAATACTTTATTTGGGTTCCTCATGTTCCATAATATCTTTGGGAATTTCCCCCGAATTTTCAGAGCTTTCGGAGTATTTTTCGCGGCTTAAATAATAATTCTAGACTTTTCTGGAATTATTTTATCCACAAAATTAATTAATTCCAAAAATAATAAATCTCTCATTTTTCCCAACGCTCAAAGCCCATGCGCAATAATCCTAATAAATTCTAAAGGCACATGTCTTTATTTACTAATGAGCTTTAATGATTATTTAGGTCCATTAGTAAATGTGGAGGGTGCAACATCAATTAGTACCATTGCTAGTTGATGTAGATGTGGAGAGTTTTCTCCCAATAAATATGTACCAACCTCTTGGAGAAAGCACATCAAAACTACCGTATAGAGAGCCCCTAGTTTGCGAAATCCCTCGTATAGTAAATTAATTTTTTCTCCTCCTCTCGCCATCGACCGTCGCCGGCCGTGGCTACATGCCGTCCTCTCAAGTTTCTGGAGCGCCGCAATCATGGGGAGATCCATCCGTTGCCATCAACTTCATCTCTGGCAGTGCATGCAGACCATACATCGTTTCGGTAAGTTGTTGTGCCTGGCCTGCCGATCTACCATCAGCTGTTGCCTGTGCCAAGCAGAAGCATGCAAGCCGCATCTCGATCTCTACTGGCACTAGGACGCCTCCATCAGCGGAAGCAAGCTGCCAGGTCTTCCGTGCACCCTTTGCCAATGCTCGATCTTCATTGCCGTGAATCTACGAGCCACCGAGTATCCTATGAAGGTACATGTCCTACGTACCTGACCTGAATTGCTCTCTCTAACTTGCCCTATTTTATCTCCTACTAGTCATCACGTGCCTTTGATTAAGCTTTTCCCAACAGCAAAAACTAGCTACATCTTTGCCTGACCGAGCTGCTGAGCTGCTGGCCTGCTCCCAGAACTCCAGAACCTTGCTGCCGTCAACTTCCTTGTGTCCAGAGCTCTCTGATACTTAAGATAAATCTACAAAGGTAGTCCCTCGTTACGCGCTAAGTTTTCTGTTGTTTCATCATTTTAAATCCTTTCAAGTTACATTGAGGTCGTAGTGACGTAATTTACGTGTTATTGGCGTTGATCGTGTGGTATGTTTGTAAATTTTATAAATGACATGTTTAGTTTAATTATTAATTGCGTGCAATCGACTTTCGAATTAAAAGCAATATAAGTTTAACGTCCGCCTTTTATATGTCAAATGTTAACTTGATTAATTACAGCATTAATATGTTTTTAATTTGTAATCTGCTTAGTCTAAACATGTTTCAAACATAAAACTAGTTTAGATGCTCACTTGTTTACTTTCATTTCATAAAAGAAATGTATTTGCTTATAGATGATTCTCTAAACATTTATAAATAATATATAGCTAGATTTAACTCGGTAATTAACACATGATTGTGTTCAATTAAAAATAAAACATGATTACTTTTAACTCGGCTTTGAACCAAAATATAATTTAACTAATCTGAGTTAATAACTATCGTATGGTTTTATTTAATTAAAATAAATCAAGCACGTAGTCTTTATTTCCCTTTTATAATGTAAACTTTTCGATAGCCATTCTTTCTAACGGTAGCATCGTTTTTTGGTGTTTCTTGTGATTTTGTGACCGTAGCAACTAGCTCTCTTTTCGTACGTTGTTTTCTCTTGTGTGGTGTACTGTTCTTAGTTTTCTATGTTTGCTTCTTGCATGTTTTCCTATGTGTGATGTTTGCTACGAGTAGAACGAAAGCCGTATGTGAGCACTGAAGATCAGAAGGTGATGACCAGAAACAAAGTATGAGGAAAATATGATCAAGTTTAAGAGGTAAGTATAGCATGGGATCTTCCTTGTTACCTATTCACCTCTAATCACTTAATTCATATTGCATGTGTCTACCTTGATTACCACTAAGGATTTCCTAGTGCATTGTTACCTTGTGCATTGTCACCTATGGGGTATTGCATTGGGTAGTATGATGCTAGTGCTCAACTACAATCATGATCTTGTAACTTGACTAATGGTATATGCAATAAACATTAAAAGATGCTTTTTAGCAATATGGAACAAGAGGGCTAGAGCATTGGGCTGTTTTTATGGTGCTCTAGATTCCTCTCCCTAAGGACTTATCTGTAAGTGATCATCCGGGACTTACAGTACAGCTGTGAGGGCTACATAGCTCTGGCTTTAGCTCAGTATGAGGACCTTTTCTAGCTTGTTAGTTGTTACCTTTATGGCGCAAGAGGGGTGTGTTCCGGGTTGGATATAGTGCGGCCTCTGTCCGTCAGTGTATAGGTTGCGTGTCATTGTGCCTGCCGGAAGGGGAGCCCTACATTCGTAGGCCACAGAAACCTAGCGGCCCTAACTTGTTAGACGAATCTTTGAAAGGCTTCATAGTGAACCCTGCCGACCTTCCTTGGTAGTGGGTCAAGAGGCTGATCACCTCGGGCGAAAGGGTAAATCACGACTCACAGTGAAAGTGTACAACCTCTGCAGAGTGTAAAACTGGTATATCAGCCGTGCTCACGGTCACGAGCGGCCTTGGAACCCTTACGGAATAGATGATCACTAATGGTTAATGATGATGAACACAGATGATACTGATAATAAAGATGCTCATTAATGATTACTATTTATGCTATTCATTATTCATGTTTACCTGATCATGTGTTTACATGGGCTGGTGATAAACTTGTTGCTACTCAACTGCTAAAATTATGACAATTAAAAGCTAATCGCAGTTAAACTAGTGTTAGCCTTTTGAGCCTCATGAACCCCGTGTTATATTTGCTGAGTACGACATGTGCTCACCCTTGCTATTTCCCCACACCCCCAGACTCTAGCAAAAGTTGCTCAGAAGATTGGTGAAGACAACGAAGGAGTTCTCAGGATACTATCAGAAGTGTTTGGCGTACGTAGCCCCCAGTCAGCCGTCCCTGTGAAGAATGGAGCCTAAAGATTAGCTACCGTTCCGCGATACTCTGGTGTAAGTATTAAATTTGAGTATGTTTCGTTATATAATAAAGCATTGTCTCTTGATACTATTATAATTTGTCGCTATATGTGTGATTTGACTTTCTGGGCACACATATAGTTAGTACTCAGTTTTGTCTTTAA